ATCCTCAGCCTCCCATATGCAATGAGGATGATAATATACTAGTCTCCCTTTAGGATTGCTGAGTACTGAAATAAATATATAAAGCACATAGCACTTTATAAATAAGAGGTCAGCAACTTTTTATAATTAAAGAGCCGAACTAAGTCAATCTTCAGACCCAAAGATGAACAAAGAGTCAGTATAGGAAAAAAAGAAAATGTACAATTTAAGATCGTTGGTAACTGACATGATAAATAATCCATGTTCCTGCAGCCCAAAGGCTAGTTGTTGCAAGTCCTTTATTACGAAGTGGCACACACAGGGCCTCACAATAGGCAATAAATATATAAGAGGCATCCTGTACAATTGTTTTAGTGGACTGGAATAAATCTCCACATGGCTTGCACTTGAGTTACTGGCAACAGGACTCTGTCACTTCCCTTTCTATAAAACAGCACTAAGAAGCCCTTCAGTCCCATGAAAATCTTCATTTCCTGGTTATTCTCACATTCCAGCTACTTTCTCCAAGATACCTTAACTTGATGATTTCATGTTTATTAAAGAGACATATTTTATTTTGTACAGAGCTGCATTTGGCTCTAGAGCCACAGGCTGCAGACCCCCTTTATAAATATTAACTATAACTAGATGTTTCACATGCACTTACAACATCTGCCAGGATCCTTAAATTTTAGGATAAGAATCCAGGTTTCTCCCATCAAGTTGGAAAAAAATATGATTGGAATAGGTCTCCCCTCCATGTGCTCTGAATTCTATTTCATTTGCTGCATATTGCACTCACCTTGAGGCTTCTACATGGCATGGTAGAAACCTGAAGCACAGGTACATAAATAGACACACACAATATCCCATCTGATATGTGTAATGATATATAAAACAGGAAAGAAAAATATTTTTTCCTCTAAAATTTTATAATTAAGGCTTATTACAGGAATGAGTTCACATCCTCCTGAAGTATTTTTTAGTATGTCTGCTGCTATTAGGAGCTGCGGTGGCTCAAGTGCTTAAGACGCTGAACTGCAGGGTGTGGAAGGTCAGTAGTTCAGCAGTTCAAGACCCGGGTACCGCAAGACGGGGTGAGCTCCTATCTCTAGTTCCACCTCCTGCCAACCTAGCAGTTCGAAAGCAAGAAATTGCAAGTAGAGAAATAGGGACCACTTCGGTGGGAAGGTAACAGCGTTCCGTGCACCTTGGTGTTTAGTCATGCTGGCCACATGACCACGGAAACGTCTTCAGACAGCGCTGGCTCTTCGGCTTTGAAATGGAGATGAGCACCACAACCCTAGAGTCGGATTCGACTGGCTTTCGAGCAAGGGAACCTTTACCTTTTCCTGCTGCTATTACTACCTCACCATCGCTGTATAAACTGATGCTAGCACTTTAAATCTTGTTTTTAGAGCTATATTTACTATTGTTGTTTTACTTGTCAAATTTTATGTAAGCCACCCTGTTTCTGTATCTTCTCACACTCTTTTCAGTGGAATTTTAAAAACACTCAATATAACTCTTCCCCTATTAAATTAATCTAGATTACACCCCTATATGCACACTGGCTCTAACAAAACTGTACTAGAAGCCCAAGCCTGGTGCCTTTGAAGTCTCACATGCATTTATCCATCGGCACCTTTAAGACCAACACAGTTTTATTCAAGGTATAAGCTTTCGTGTGCCTGCACACTTCTTCAGATACAAGGAAATGTTGCCTCCATGCTTGAAGGGATGGATGGAATGTAATGGCAGGGACTCAGGTAATTAATCTCAGTATCCCACAATTGATACATCTACCCATCAATCTCCAATTTTGACTAATTTATTTCCTTCGCTATGTCTCCCCCCCACAGAATTAAACCCAAACAAATGGTAACCAAATAAACTAAGCTTGTTATTCATGTTTGGTCCTTGAATTTGTTAAACATCTTCATTATGTTGAATGCTAATTAATGCTCACCTTCTACCTATATGTATGGACTAGTAATTTCCATTTTATTGTATCTGAAGAAGTGTGCGTGTGCATATGAAAGCTTATACTTGGAATAAAAATTTGTTGGTCTTAAAGGTGCCACTGGACTCACTTTGTTCTGCTGCTTCAGACCAACACGGCTACCCACCTGAATGTACTTAGCGCCACGTTCTTAGTTTCACTCACATGATGGCCTCATAGTCAGCAGAACTTCCTCAAATGGGCAAAATGAGAGGAGGCAGCATAAGCACTTGCAAGTTCCAAATCCTTAAATAGCTCTTTACGGCTCCCAGTTACTTCCTGCTGTTCGATTTTTACTTCTGCTTGTATGATCAATGTTAGGTTCAGTGAGATCATTTACAATTTTATCAGTTTCACTTTCTGCTTCCTGTAGACCCTATGCATGCTTACTCTACTGAGTTTAAACAAGATTTACAAGGCAATCCAGGGCACTCTTCTCAGAAAGGAACTCCACTTTATGAGGCTTACTCCGAGATAAGTGTGCACTAGATTGCATCCTTAGCCCTAACTGTTACGTAGTATTACAGTTCATTGCCTTCAAACATAAAGCATACGTTTCCTAAATAAAATTCCAAACTCTCAAACTCCAAATCCGTAATCTCTTTCTAAACTTGGGGTATGTAACTAAAGCATGTACTATGAAAACCAGAAAATCTGCAAGAGAGTTGCCAGTTCAAGCCAAAAGTTAGGCAAAGTTCCCACTTGTGATGCTTTACAATATAAACATGCTTACAGAAGGTTACAGAAGGTAAGCATTCTCACTACATGACTATTACACATCCATAATGCTGAAATTAAAAATAACGAGGCAATGACAAAATCCATATGATGTTGAGAATCTTAAATCTATATTAAAAGAATCTGTCAGCATGAGACAAAAACAATTACAAATTCAGATGACATAGTGTGAGATGGAAATCTAAGTTCTTTCCCACCTTTTTACTCTCTGGCCAAATTGACATTAAATATTCTCTTGACAATTTTCTTTTGAACAAACATTGAAAGATGCACACACATGCAAAATAATCTGTGTCTTGACTATCAATTGAGCACATTCTTCCAGGGAGTGCTAATTTTTAAGGAACTTCCAAGTCAAGGCGAGCCTTTCTCTTGCTCCTTTCCTCATGCTTACTATCTGCAAGAACCCTTTCTACTCTGTGACCTACTGAACTATGCAGCTTAATATCACTAGTGTTTGTTCTTTATTTCCAACATCCCAGCTGAACAAAATAAAAAATGCAATGTCAGGGTAAAAGCTTAATCTGATCTTTCTGTCTCTGTTAGCTCAATGGCCTCTGTTGACAGTGCAAGGTAAAGGGTTGACAGTAATGGATCTGATTGTCAGCAGCATATTTTTAAATAACTGAAATGTTGGTAGTTGCTTGGGCAAGGAAGAATGCTTTTAAAGCATCAATTTTTAGCTGGCATTCATAATTTAAACAAGCAAGCGACTGAGCATATTCCTTATGGTGCAATTTGCTTTTAAAGGGAAGAGTTGCCAAATATCCTATATTTCAAAACAATCCAATGCCCAGAGTAAATTATCTATCCCCATTTCCAGCAACCCCCTTCTGTAATATTACAGTCAACAAGTATCAATACATAGTAGAGCATCCCCTGTTAGTCTATGGCAGGCCTGATTCCAAGGGCTGGACACAGGACAGGGCAGCATTGCCCAACGGATGCTTGTCTAATAAATGAACTTTCCCTTAGGAAGTCCTCGTTCCCACAGAGATCTACTGCAGGCCTCTCTTATTAAGAGTCTCACTTCAGCGTTTCTTTATGACTGTAAAGTTCTCATCTCAAGAGGACTCCCTTGAGTACACATATGGTACAAACAATACATTCAAATAGATGGTAGTAATAGGGAAACAAACTGGCACTAAGACTTCCATGAAGAAAAAAATCAGGTGTTGGTCTGAACCAGCAGAACGAAGTTGGAGTCCAGAAGCACCGTTAAACCCAACAAAGTTTTATTCAAAGTGTAAGCTTTCGTGTGCAAACCTTAAAGGTGCCACTGGACTCAAGCTTTGTTCTAGCACTAAGACTGATAATCAGGAATGGATACACTTAAGAAAATCCTTGGCATCCAACTACCTAGCGCAGCTCTTCAAACTCCCATGCTTGCAAGTCATTAGAACCCTTAAACCATAAAGAGAAAAGGATATGTAAGACATCTCCCCAGGCAAAAAGAGAAAGAAACTACCTTCTGTTCTGTATTTACACAAAATGGCAAGAGTTCATATCTATACTGGTTTCAGGTGGGTAGCCCTGTTGGTCTGCAGCAGAAGAGGGAAGTTAGAATCTGGGAGAACCTTAAAGCTCAACAAGTCTTCCAGGGTATAAGCTTTCAAGAATCAAAGCTCACCGGAAACCTTGTCTTTAAGGTACCACTAGATTCGAATCTTGCTCACCTAAGAGATGGTTCACTTGCCCAACACCTTGAGCTACTTAAACTGGAAAGTAGGCAGAATACACAAGCCCGAACCAGCACTTGGGCAGTCAGACTGTTAGAGGTGGATTAAATTCCCACCCAAATCAAAAGACAGAGAACGACCCGCTGTTATCCATACTTTTAGCACTTCATCCGCAGAAAGGCTTTCCTTATCCCTACACCGTTCAATCAACCACGTGACAACGAAGTCTTATCCCCCCCCCCCCTTTTACAAAACTGGTGGGACGCTTACTCTGGGCTACTCAGCCGAGCTGCGGCTTTGGCAGACAAGGCCCCGTCTCTCCTCTTCGGGCCAAGGGCGGCCAGACTAGTATCAGAGTCTAGTCCTAGGATCTATCTGACCGCCGCTGCATGGAACAGCTGCAGGGCGGATGAGCCTGCCATCACCCTCTGACTGGGCTGAGGAGAGCCGACAGACGCGGAAAGCGCTCCCACACAAACCCCCGCGGTCCTCATCCGTGGCAAGTCCCAAAGCGTGCGATGGTACTCGCCCCGTGTGTCTGTGCGCGACAATCAACGCCCCCGCCCCCCTTGAAAAACTCCGGCCCTTCTTTTGTTTTTTACCTGAAGCGACTCGTTGGCCATTTCTGCTTCTCGCTTCCCGCCAAGCCTCGGCTGTTTTCGTCCCCTTCTCGCTCCTCCTGGGGAAGCCGCTGCTTCCCTTGGGCTGCCCTTACAGTAACCGCCGACTTGCCATCCTCCTTCTCCTCCTCCGGGTCCGTGGGGCGTGTTAGGGAGCCGTCGAACCCCACAAGGGGGCGGCCCGTCCGGGAACAAGCCGCGAGCGGCTGCAGGAAAAGAGTTGGGACGAGAGAGCCTCTGCTCTTCCCTTCCTCCTGCCCGCCTTGTTGCTGCAGCTGCAGGTCCGCCTCGCGCCGCTGGGGCCCGCCGAACGGTTCCGTCCGAGCGCCTCGCGCAGCTGTAGGCAGGAATTTTTATTTCATTTTTTGCCGCTCTTATTGTTGTTGCTGCGGCGGCGGCGGCGGCAGCAGCAGACCCGCTGGCTCCCTCCCAGGGAACAACTTGCCGGGCTGGTCACGTGGGGAGGGGGGAGGAGGGGAGGAGATCGCTGCAGCCAACTCTTGGGAAAGGGGAGGATGCTGACCGCGGCCAGAGATTTGCGGGGGTTGCTTGCAGTTGTTGCAGCCCTCCCCAGGTCTCCCCCTTCTTTCCGGAGAAGATTAAAAAAAGATTAGCAGCAGGGGGGGGCTGAAAGAAACAGCCAGTCCCCCCCCCTCCACCCCACCCCAGATTGCCTCCCAGAAGCCCGAACAACCGCTTGCCGGAAGGAAAGGACACACAGGGCTCATTTGATCACCGCCATTGGGGAGGCAAGGGCGGCTTTGTCAGATGCTTCCCCCCCAACTGAAACCGCTTATCTTATTGCGCCTCGGCACAGTCTAATGTTGCCCCCCGCCTCCTTTGCAGGTGCTAGTTCAGCTATATTGGAGGCTTATTGCTGACCTTCCCCATAGATTGCTCCTTCTTTGCAATCAGGGCCACTGATGTTTTTGACATTGCTCTGCCTTCCCCTCCAAACTGCTGCTGGTTTGCACTGTCTATTCATTGTAGTGATTGGCGAGAAAGTAGCTCGTCTTCCAGAGAGGCCCAGGCATACATGAAAACTCCTGGAAAACGATGGCTGTTCAGATCCTGTAAGACATACACCAGAACATTCTTCGATTTCAGCAATAGCCAGTGATAACACAGTACTTTATGGCGGAGTCACCTCTAGACTCAAGCAGTCTCCACACTCCAAAATGGCACAAACTGGATGCATTCTTTTTCATCTTTTTCATCAAAAATTAATTGCCTGAGAGATGCTCCAATCTTCTTGTCTTATAGCGCTATCTTATGCATGCAAGCTTGCATGGCAACATTAGGCACAGGATTTGCAGGCATCAGCTGTCACAGGTACTAGTTCAATATTTCCTGCTGCAGCAAGCACACTCAGCTACAAGCCCTCCAGAGCTGCTAGAAATTACCTTCTTCCTGGTGGACAAGAAATCCCAAAGGCAGAGGCAGTTCAATTAACCTCAATTCAATAGTATCACTATTACAGTAACAAACAAGTCTATTTCCTATGACATGAATTGTGAAAGAAGCATGGTTTCACAGAAAGTGTACTATAATTCCAAATTCAAATGCAAGTTTATAATTCACAACCTATTCTGATGATTAGTATATTTCTAGTAATACTTTGCATTATACAGGGCTTGATTTCACACAGGCACACACAGCAACCATTTCATCCTTGTTCTAAACCCCAACCCCTCATACAGCAATAGCATTTATCACCACTGACTGTTGATTCTTCCTCCTGTAGGTGACACCATACCCTCTTGTTCTCTCCTGAAACCATGGAAAAGTGCAAGACCTAGATCACGGGTCTCAAACATGCGGCCTGGGGGCCGGATGAGGCCCCCGGAGGGCTTCTATCAGGCCCGCAGTGGAACTGGCTGTCTTCTGCCTCTTCTTCCAGTTTTGCTGCTACTGCGTCATCGTAGGTTTGCAGCTTACAGATACACACCTGAACAGCATACTCAAGATTGCAACAGCACAAACATTTTGATGCAATAATTCAGAGCAAGATGTGTCAGTTATCAGACACGGTTAAATAAACAAAATATTGCAAGAGTGCTAAGGTTTTAAGCATGTTTTTATTTTAAGTAAAAAAAACGTTTGTGTTTGTGTCCTTTATATAGTTTGTATCTCTGCTACCTGGCATTACATTTTATGACACACATGGCCCAGCCCAACAAGGTCTAATTTATGTCAGATCTGGCCCTCATAACAAATGAGTTTGACACCCCTGACCTAGATCCTTCCCACAATTGGGCTTTGCCACCTGCAGGCCAAGTTGGAATAATTTCTCTTAATGACCATGTTTGCAAATAGTCTTTGCACAGAGCAGAGTCTAATCAGACGGAAAACTTGTTTGTGCTGCAGACTGTGTGTACAGTTCCCATGGTTAATTCATACAGTCATTGCACTATGAGTGGGGATTTGAACCTGGTTGTCCCAGATACTAGTCCGACACTCTAACCACTACACCATGCTGGCTGCAGTATTTGCCATCATGTAACTATCATGCAACTAGTTTGCCGGACACAATTCCATGCATTCAGGCTTGCTCAAGTCCCTTTCAATCCAGTCTTTGGATGTGTCACTCTAGAAAAATATTGTGGAATATGTTTATTTCCTTCAGATATTTTTAAAGAGTGAACCATGGTTTTCTCCAAAAACTAAAGTTACTTAACGTGAAATAAATATCTCTGTACAGGAATAACTGAGAATCTAAGTGTGTCTCTTATCCTAAAATCACATATTGATCTTCATATTCCTAACAAGTCATAAACCAATCCCAAATATGGAACAGCTGAGGAAAGAGGGAAGGCCCTGTGCTACAGAACAAAGATTTCAGATCCCAACATGAACAAGAACAGCTTGGGGGTATGGTGTCTGGTGGCCATGAAGGCAGACGCTTGAAACTAGTGCTCGCCACCCAACCCCCTTTTATAATAATAACTAGAAATAATGCCCGTTGCGGAAATAAATACAACGGGATCTAGAAAGAGGCTCTGGGAGAGTGCTCTGGCTTTGGGCAAACAGTGTCAGTTTCCTGTGGCGACCTCAGCAGGGTTTAATGACAGAGTCCACTGTTTTCTCCAGAGGGACTGATCTCTGCTACCTGAAGAGCATTTGTATGTTTGAGTTATCTGTAGCCCTCACCTGGAGAGTGGTAACCATTGTTACCCATTCTCCTCTCCCCTATGAGGTATGTTATGCAACTGAAAATTCCAACTGCCTTGGGGGGGGGAGTTTGAGGTGTGGAATGGACTGAAGTCCAATCAGCTTCCATATGCAAAAGACCAGGTTGTTGCAGCAGTTGTGGTGTGGGCGGGACCCGGGCTTTGCCTTCTGATTGGTGGCGATATATGCTGAGGAGCAGTGCCATCAGCCATACACTAAGGGAGTGCATTTTAGAATTAGAACTTTGGCACCCACTATTCAATTATATATAAGGAGAGATTCACTGTTGAAATATACATTTACATCTTTATTTGGAATGGGAAAATCAGAGCAAACTAAAAACAAAGCTACAATGGTAAAAACCCCTTCAGTAAAATCATTCTTTGACTTGAACCAGAAAAATAATAATAATAATAATAATACTTTCCATTTATTAATCGCTTTCCCCAGTGGGCTCAAAGCAATGTACAGTTACTCATTATAGACAAGGGACTAACAATGTTTGTAGGGGATAGGGAAGACAACATATATTGCACATGCCATCACTGCCCGGTGTAGCTGTCTTCTGGCTTGGCTCCGTCGTTTTCCGCATGGCTTGCTTGTTGACCAGGCTTCAGGACCCGTATGTCAATCACCACACTTCCACCCCCTGGCCGGAATATCCATTGCAGGGATTCTTTCGTAGCCGAGAAGCTATTTCGCCTTCAAGCCTCGACCAGGACATCTGACCGTCAGCTAACACCCTCCCACAAGGGAGATTGGCATGCCCACCCTCTCTAAGGAGTGGTTCCCATTTTATCTACTCGCCAAAGCTTTCGAATCGCTGGGTGGATGATGAGCTGGGGACAACAGGCTGGCTGCTCACACCAGCGCGGGGCTTGAACTAACACAGTTCAGATGTTAAGACAGTGGCCGCCGGGTTGGAAGCTTGTTCTGAGGTAACTGGCTCACAATTTAAAACTGACTTACTAGCCTCTCTGTGCTCTATTAAAACTGAAATTCTAGACTATATTGATATTGAACTAAAACTGCTAGAGGAACAACTTGAAATTATACAGCACTCTTTACATAAAGATTCCCAAACAGCAGACTCAGCTTTCGAAATGTCTATCACCACACAGAATAATGTCAGACATCTACAAAGAAAGAATGGGCCACCGAAAAAATAATAATGTTAGAAACAAAGCTAAAATGAAGCTCCCTAAAATTTAGGGGTATGGAGGCAGGAGAAGAAGGAACATCTGAAATCTCTTCCTTTATAGCGAGTTGGCTAGCACACATATTGAATCCTGAAGAAAAAAACAGCACCGCTACTATTGAGGGCTTATAGAGTTGGTTGCGGAACAATGGCTCTTACAAAGGTCCCAGAGACATACTTGCAGACTTCCAGGATAATAGTGTTGTAAATAGTCAAATAATTGTTTAATACTCAGACTATTTGATGGATCTTGCTCTATTGGAAAGAAGAGAGTTCTTTGCTTTTAAAAATACTTTATTCTAAGGGAAAAGGTACACGGGATTGCTACAAATTAACAAAACACTAAGAGCTACATTTCTAAGCTTCCTACAGACAAGACAAGCACACACGTAATGGAGAATTCTCTCCTTCTTCTTGACCCCTAGAAAAGGAAGTCACCTGAAACAAATGACCAATCTGCATCAAAGTAGAAGCTACTTTTCCCGGGCAAATCCCCCATTGGCTTGGTGCCAGGTATCCCTTCCAGGTCAGTCTAAACAATAGCAAACTAGGAATACAAGTTAACCCTATAATGACTGAATCAGACCTTGTAAACACATACATTTCCAACAAATAGAACAGTCAGGAGAATACTCAATGAAGCTTGGCAACATGGAGCCTTAAAATATTGAGATAAAAAGATTCAAGTTTTCCCTGATTTACCAAGAGAAACTCTCCAAATTCACAACCTTCTGAAACCAATTTCATCCAAATAGCAG